TCTCTCTCTCTCTCTCTCTCTCTCTCTCTCTCTCTGTCTCTCTCTTTCTCTCTCTCTCTCTGACACACACACACACACTCATTTCCGTTGACTGAATATATATATATATATATATATATATATATATATATATATATTATATATATTTATATTTATATATATATATATATTTATATATATATATATATATTTATATATAGCGTACTCCTTACTTCGTGCTTGTCTGACTTTCGTTGTTGTGCAGACCCTGACATTGATAATGTCACCGACAGGCGGAGACGTTGTTCTCGCTCGATCATCGCCCATTGCGGGATCTCCGCAGGGGACGCCCGATCCTCGTCAAAGCGTCGATCGATCTCCTTGTGCAGTGCGTGGGTTGTTGGGTGTTTCACCGCACAGCGGTGGTCCGGAGGTCCGGTTGGGGAAACGGCGCCGCGGTACCGTTTCGCATGCGACTGACAGCGTCGTCGGCCCGAGCGTGACACCCATTTTGCCTTTCGCTGGTGTGTTGGGGGCTTCTCCGTCGGGTGTGGCCGGGGTTTGTGACGCGGCCACGTATGAGGGTCCGTTGCTGCCATCCCCACTGCTGCCTGGAAGGTTAGACTATGCGGCCACGATTCCTTTAGCACCTGTATGGTCACATGCGGTGGCCCCGCCATGTCCCGCTGGAGGCGGTTCTCTTTCAGGAGATCGCAGTGACGCTTGGCGTTGTCCAACCGTTTCATGTCCAGGAGTCGTGGGCGCAGCGGCAGGTTCGTTTGCGGTGCCGCCTCAAGCTCCCTATGTCGCTCCTGATTCCACACCTCCGTTTGAAGATGTGGATAGCTCTGCGGCAGTCGGCGGCACTCCGTGTTCGGGCGGCAACAACATCGTGCGAGTGTGTGTGCGGGACGCGTGTCGGAGACGATTGTACGCTCTCCGGGACACTATGGCCGGTGTGGGTGACCATCACGGACCGGTCAGCGACGTTATTGATCGGCTGTTCAACTGGTCCTTGTCGCCATCCGTGCGGAGTTTGGAGACGAGGTAGCAGATGTGATTTCTTCTTCGTTGCCATCTCAGGTGTGCGGTCCAGATTTCACGTTGCGTTATATGCCAGGCGATTCCGGTGTTGACTACGGTAAGGGGGGTTCGCAGGGTTCAGCGAGCGGAGGGTTGGGGGAGTCTCATGACGGATCACAGAACTCGTTCCCGTCATCGCGTCGCGCATCGCAGTGCAGTGACAGAGGGTGCGGCAGACCCCGCAGCGCGGGTCGCTACACAGCGACACCTGCCCGGTCGCAGACGTGGTGGGATAGTTGGAATGGTGTTGACCAGTGCGGTCCTGGGCCTGAAATTGACCGTGCCAGTGTTGAGGAGGCAATGGCGTTGTGGAGTGGACCGACGGCGCCGGATGTTGTGTTTCTGGAGCCGGTCAAGCTTCTTCAATTGCTGGCCATGTTTCATCTCTATTGCCCGTGGCACAAGGGTTCGTGCCGTGTGTCTGTGGAGTCCGTCTCCTATCCTTCGCAGCTCTGTAAGCTGACGTTCGTATGCGACAAGAAATGCAAATGGATGTGGCACACGACACTCGTGACCACGAACGTCTATCAGTCGCGATTGATGCAGCAACTCTTTCATGCGACGGTCACCGCCTGCCTTACGTTCACGCTCCTCGACAACTTTTGTGTTTGTTTAGGGATGTGTTCGGTGCACAAACCCACATTCTACAAGTTTATGCGCACAGAACCGGGGGGGCCGGAGGGGTGGAATGCCAAGGTCGTACGGCAGGGCATAAAATATTGCGAGCTTGCCATTGACACTGTGATCCGCCGTGGTGAGCTAGTGACATTGATGGTTGATGGTCGGTATGACTCTGTCAAAGGCGCGCAGCATTGCACTGTCACCTCGATGGAGTACGAGACTCGGCTTGTTGTAGGTATTCACACTCTCCGTCCGAAGATTGAAGCTAAGGCATCGAATGCGCTTGAGGTGTCAGCCGTCGTGCAAGTTTTGCGAGGGCTGATGGACAAGGGGTTGAAGATCCGGTGCGTTGTCTCGGATGACTGTGCCGCGCTGGGACCGAAGTTGCGAGCTATGAACATCGAGTGGCAGAAGGATTGTCACCACAAAATAAAAAACATTCGCAAGCACTTCCACAGTATGCTGCAACTGAAGGAAGCGAAGAAAGTGAGCAGCCCGCACGACTGTGTGTCAGAGGCGCAGTTTATGCAGTTCACAAAGAAGCGGCTAAAGGAGGCGTTGGAGCAGCATTTCGGACCTGACGTCCTCACACCTGCTGAGGAGCGGATGAAGAAATCGGATTTCGTCGCTGTCGTCATACGAAAGATGTACCCCTACGGATCGAGGTTGAATGCTCGAGCGTTGGAGACTGATCCAGGCGGCTTGACAGAGTATCATGCGCATGAGGTAGGGATGTGGTTCCTCCGCGCTTGCCAGCTGTGCAGGGAGGAGGGCGGAGACGCCGACAGTCTATACCGCGACATCTTGTTGGTCGCCGATCATTGGGCTGGTGATCATTCGGGATGTGTCGACGGTAGGGGGGTTCTGTGCAAGAAGGTCGATGGGCGTGCACGATTGCCTTTGTATAGCCGCACGAACACGGTTTACGAGCTCGTTCTGCGTGTTCTCGAAAACAATGCAACACTAACATCATGTCGTACTACGTCGAGTTTCGGCACACATCGACGGTGGACACTTTTCAGGGCACCATCATTATCTATGCGAAGAAGTCGGTGCATTTCGAGAAGTCTTTATGTGCACATTTGTCGATCGCAGTGATTCGGTGGAACAGTCACTGCTGGCGCGACCCGGTCGGGTATGTTGCTCGCATTGCTGCGGGCACTTCCATACGTGCGAGACCAGACTTCCGTCGACACTACGGTCACAAGGCGATCGACTGTTGGGAGGACAGATTAGCGGCGTCAGTGTTCGGTTCGACTCATGTTTCAGACTGGGCTCGAGAGCTTCAGCGGCAGGAGGTTTGTCCTTATGGAGTCGGGTCATTGCCGCGTGATTTGTTCGTCAACGGTGGGGGCAACCTAGTGGAAGTCGTTGATGATGCTGCCTCAGGTTCCGACCATGAGGCGGTGGAGGAGAACCGTGTTTTCATCATCGGTCACGTGGAGGACGATAAGGTGTCTGCATGCAATGATTGGGTCCAGACATCGAGCTCTGAATCTGAGGGTGACGATATAGAGTTATTCAGCGTTTGACTGGTTGAATGGCTTTATCGTTGACCTAACATCGGTCTGGTGATCCGAATTTCATTCAGCATGGCGTTCTTCACACACATCTCATGGTGTCTTGTTTGTTACGCTACATTATGTCATATATATATATATATATATATATATATATATATATATATATATATATATATATATATACTTTGTCCGTCTCTTTACCTTTATATATATCTATTTTTGCTCAGTCTGACTTCCAAGACTGATGGCGAGGCTGTATACTACCCCGTAGGGTTACATTTTTAATTTTGTTCGACTGAGGGCTAACCGTGAAACAAAACTGTGAGGAAAATTCGTGATCTCCACATCTGTAAATATGGGAAATATAGGCCTAGCAGTAATTCGAATTTCCGATACGTACCCTTGCTGCGAATAGCAGGTCCGAAATACCCCCAGGACAGACAGGCCCTAATGGCCTAAGCTGATAGACGGTTCTATAGCCTATAGTCGGGTTCGGTACAGGCCGAGAGGCCGAAACTGCAACGGTGTTGATCGGGTAGTCAGTCCGGTATAGGTGTAGGTTAGATTAATGTACTCTATTAGTAGAATGAGGGAAATCGATTGGGGAGCAAAGGACTGGAACAAACTCTGTTATGATATTCGTTGGAGTTGGTTCATCATCAGCATCATATGAATTCTGATCTTGCTGAGATTCTTTATTGTGATTGTTTGTTGGGAGTCTGTCGGAGAGTGAGAGTCATTGTCTGACCTCCCCCATGTGTGCATGGTTGAATTCCGCTGCTTATCCTTGTCTGTGTGCAGTTTTGACTCTGTCAC